TCCTTCTTCCAGAGGTAGATGATGAGTCTTACCGCTGCTCCATGTGTCCTTGGACAGCCAGAAACCGAACCCACTGGTGTACACCCTGGCGTGCATTGGCACACCACTGCCGCCGCAAGGGCTTCGTTCGCGCACTACCCGCTGCTATACGACACTGAACCGACGTTCCCATGCCCGCCTGGGAGGATGACATGTTACTTCGCGTGTTTCTTTTTGATGCGTAGATCTCATCCCATGCTGCAAGTATGCTAGATGCCGAGAAGGTAAGTGGCGGCTGTTGAAAGTGAAGAGGGCGATAATAGTGCTCGTTGGAACAGGGACGCCTGGGTATGTTGTTCGCGTATCTGGCGGTCAAATATGTCCGGGTGTTCGTCCATGTGGTCATCATTCTTCTCTCAACGTCTTGAGCTGATTGGCGGTCAATTCGTTGTCCGTTTTCTGTTTCCTGCTGCTCGTTTTGTCCCGCTGCTTGCGGCAGCTGTGCCGCAACACCAGCGAGGCCCAATGTGGCGACCTTTCGAGCACCGCCCGGAATGCCGTCACATGTTATTCATCGGGAGCCAGGGGCACCGGATCCTGCAGGATCCTGCGAAGACCCCCTCTGGCTGACCCGGGTTCGCGAGTCGCTCGTGGCCGCGAGGCGGCCGCGCCTATTGGCTGACCCGGGTTTGCGAAGACCTGCGCTGCAGTTTTTTTTTTTGCACTGCAGTTTTTGGTCTCCTGCTGACGGGGGTCTGAATTGACCCGGGTCAGAAGATCCCCGAGGGTCCAGCTATTTAATTTACCAGAAGGAGAGTCAGAATCACGTGCAAGCATCGTTCGGGGAAGGGCACTTCTTCCATTGACGTCGTCGTCATTTGATCGGCAGCCCGCCGCGCGGCAGTTTTTGGTTTCCTGTTGGATTGACCGGGTCAGAAGATCCCCGAATTCAGACCGTCTCTATCCATCGCTTCGTTCGTTCCGCCTGCCCATCTTGCTTGACGGCGCTCGGTGCCCCGTGTGTTCGTTGTCAGTGTGGTGTTGTTGAGCGGCGATGGTTCTCTGGCGCGGTGTGTGGGGATCGGGGGTGGACAGACCTGCAACCCTGACACGTCGATTAGTGAATTGTCCGTTTTCAGTTCTCGAGAGGGCGCCGCGGCCTTCATTTTCCAGGCTTGCGCCCGCCAGGTTTGGGCCTCAGGTCGTTTTCACTAAACCACGTTTTACTAAAGGGGGGTCTGTCCATCCCCGATCTGGCGGTGGGGAGTTTTCGGGCTGAAGCAGTTTCTGTTGATCTGCGTCTGCCGGGGTTTGTTGCGGCGGGCCTCTTCGGGGCTCAAGAGACGGGGGTCAAAGCAAACGGGGGTCAAGGGCACCGGATCCTGCAGGATCCTGCGAAGACCCCCTCTGGCTGACCCGGTTTAGCGAGCCGCTCGTGGCCGCGAGGCGGCGGCCGCGCATATTGGCCGACCCGGGTTTGCGAAGATCTGCGTTGCAGTTTTTGTTCCTTGCATTTCAGCTTTTGGTTTCCTGCTGACCCGGGTCTGGATTGAACCGGGTCAGAGGATCCCCGACCTCTGCAGTGCATTAGGCACGTAGGTGTTTAGTTTGGGCCCGTGTGGGGATTGTCCTCTGCGGATGTTCGGTTTGGTCGCAGTCTGAAGATGTGAGTCTGTTTGTGCAAGTTGTGTCTCCTACTTTCGGGTGGGAGGCCTCTCGGGCGCCTATTGGTGGTATGCCTGAAACCTCTTGTGGTCTCAGAAAGGGGGGCCTCTTGGGATCCCTTAAGGCCCTCTTCTGGGCTTCTTGGGGCGAATCGGCAGTTCGGGTCCCCCGTCTGGACCCTCTCTTGGAGCCGTCTTGGGGGCCTCTTGGGCCGTCTTCGAGGCCTCTTGGGCAGTCTCCGGGCTCTCTTCAGCTGTTTCGGGGTTGTTTTTGGGCCCTCTTGGAGATCCTCGGGCCATCTTGGAGCGGTCGTGGGGGCCTCGTGGAACGCGTTGAAGCGTCGGCAAGCTTAAACGGCGAAAACGCGAACAGTCTTCAAAAATCCCTTGGGCCTCTTTGGGGAAACCCTCTTGGAGGCCTCTTGGGGCGTCTCGCGGGCCTCGTGGTCCGTCTGGAGATTCATCTTGGGCGTCTAGAAGTGCTCTTGTGGCGTCTCGCGGCTCTCTTGAACCATCTCGAAGGCTTCTTGGGAGTCTCGTGGCTCTTTTTGGGTCTCTCTAGGAGGCCTCGAGGGCGGCGCCTAGGAGCAAAACCATCTCTGGCGGGACCTTGCCGGTGATCTGCCTGGGATACTATTGCGCCAGGGGAACCCCGCGCGCGCGATTGTGTATAGAAATGTGTTTCACCTGTTACCGGAAATCTTAGCACGCCTCTTGCCCGTTGGGCCGGCGAATTTTTTGAGAAGCCTTCGTCGAGGAGCTCTCCTCGGTCCCACTTGGGCCGTGTTGAGGCTGTGGGCTGTCTTGGGCTCCTGCAGGGAGGACATCCCTTGGTCCGTCTTGGGGCCAACTTGGGGCCCCCCGAGGGCTGTCTGGGAGCGCTGCTCCTGGTCATTGGGGACCTCTTGGGGCCGTCGTGGGGCTCCGAAGGGTCATCTCGGGTGGCCCGTCTTGGGCCCCCGTGCGGGCCATCTTGGAGGCCTCTCGGGCCATCTTGAGGCCCTCTTGGGCCGTCTTGCGGCCCTCTTTGGGGGCCTATCAGGTTGCGTTTGGGCCTTGTTTGATGTCTCTTGGGCCGGCCTGGGATGTCTTGGGCTGACGGAAGCCCGAGAAGGTGATTCTCCGAGGACGCTTGCCGCGCCCCAGACAAATCTATAGTTTTGGCCTCTTCGGGCCCTGCTGGGGGTCCTCTTGAAACCCTCGTGGGCCGTCTTTGTCGAGTCTTGGGTCGTCGTCATTGGGCCGTCTTGGGGCTAACTTGTGCCGCCTTGGGGCCATCTTGGGCTGTCCTGGCAACCTCGGTGGCCCGCCCTGGGCCGTCTTGGAGGCCAAGTTGGGCGTGCTGCAGGCCTTGGATCACCCCAGGTAGGTGGCGGCGCTTCCCAGAGCTCTCGGGAGGGAAGGAGGTTCAGAGGAGGAGCAGTTACACATAACGCTGCCCCTCCATCTTTTTCCTTTTTTAGGGCCTCCTGAGAGGCCCTCGTTCTTCACCGCTGGATTCGCCTCGCAGTGCTGGTCAGACCGCACCCCAGGTAAGGTCTGGGGAGAAGCGGCATCGATACCCCTTGGTTCGCCCAGGGGCGATGCACGCAGAGAGGCGTGAGACGAGAGAAGTGGACGCCCCTTGGGAGGCTGCAGGACGCTAGACGTTACTGGCGTCTCTGCTACTGGGGTTACGGTGGCGGATCTCTCTCTCTCTCTCTCTCTCTCTCTATGCCTGCGTCCTCTTTCAGTCGCGTTCCTCCGCTACCCTCCTATCTGGCCAGACGGCCTGCCAGCATGCTTCTCTCCTGCCCGCAGATCACTGTCCTCGTCTCCAACTGCGTGTCCACTATTCCTGGGGCTGGCCGCGCCGCTCGCTCGGGGGAGTGATCCGTCCCCCCTGAGCCGCTCGCTCCGTCCGCCCCTCTTTCGGCCGCGCCCTCCCCCCGCTCATCCTTCTTGCATGGTGGCACAAATTCGCTCTCACGGCATCCCCGTTGTGGCATCCCATCGCCAGCGCAGACGTCCCCTGCCGAGCCGCCGACGCAAAACGTTTCCACTGCCCCAGCAGGCAGTGCTTGCACGAAGGGGGTTCCTTGCCAGGGTACTCACTGGCTTGTGCTTCCGAGCTGCTGCCCAGTGGCCGACCCTTTGGCGCCTCGGGGCCGCCCCGTGCGCTGGCCGGCGTGCCCCGGTCTTCGGTGGCCGCACGCAGGCGTTTGCTTCTTTTTGAAGACCAGGCAACGGAACGCCAGCCAGGCTGGTATCTGATGGGCCTGTTTTCCACCACCACCACCATAAGTTGAAGGGGAGGGGGTCCTCCTCCTCCTCCTCCTCCTGCTCCTCCTCCTCCTCGTCCTCCACCTCCTTCCCCCCTCCAGCTTATGGTGGTGGTAGTGGAAAACAGGCCCACCAGTACCGGTCCCCCTATCTCAGGCGATCGCAAACATGGGTCAAGGGGGCGTGGACAAGCGACGGGTCCCGCTTCCATGGGAGATCGCAGATTCCCGCCGCCGAGCGGGGCGGCACCGGCTTCATTTTGCGGAGGGCACTTCCCCCGATCCGTGAATTTGGCGACCGCGCGCCAAATCCATGGATCGTTAATGTTTGCGCGCCCCCGAGTCGTTTGACAAAAACTGCTGTATGATGCGCACGCGTTGATCTAACGAGTGTTCGTTACACGAATGCGCGCCACAACATTCGATGGGGGGGGCACATGCGCACACATGGCGTGATTCTTGCCAAACCATCGGCGTCCAAGCAGCGTTGGCTAGAACTTGGCAGGTCTGTTCTGCGATCGCGAGCTACGCGGATTGCACGCGCGAGCGAATGTCGAAATCATGACCCAATCATCGCGCGCCCGCCAACTCAATCACAAAAGCTGCCTCCGGCAACTGCGCCAACAAACCAGCGCAACATTTTGGGTGGCAGCTATTCGAAAAGGCATGAGGGCCTGCTGGAGACCTCTTGGGGTAGAATGCCCGAATGCTTGTTTCGTGCTTTCCTCTCTTGGGGCTGTCTTGGGGCCTCCTTGGCGCCCCTTCGGCCGGTTCGGATCCCTCTTGGGCTTTCTTTGAGATCTCTCGGTGGCCTCCTCAGCCGTCTCGGGGTAGTCGTGGAGGCCTCTTGGGCCGTCTTGCGTCGGAAGCTCGACAAAGCGAGAACCCAACAATATTGAAACACGCTGCAGAACATCAATTTAGCCTTTTTGGGGCCTCCTGAGCTCTCCTGGGACGGAAGGCTCGAACTGTCGGGCCGTGCTCACCCTCTTGGGCTGTTCTTGGGGCTGGCTTGACGCCTTCGAAGGGTAGTCTCGGGCGCCTCTTGGGCCGTCTTGGAGCTCTCTTGGGCCGTCTTGGAGCCCTCTTGGCCGTCTCGGTGCCATTTTGGGGGCCTTGTGGGCAGTCTTGGGGCAGTCCTGGTGGCATCTTTGGTCGACTCGGGACGTCGGAAGCTCGACAAGCGAGAACTGGACACGCATTGAACAACCTGTTGGGTAATCACTGGTTTTCGCGTCTGGAGGCCCTCGTTGGACAGGGTCTTGGGCCCTCTTGGGATGCCTTGAAGGCCGCGTGGGCCGCATCGGAGCCATCTTAGGCCGTCTGGATGCCAAAGTGGCCCTTCCTGGGAAGCGATATTGTGCCGTCTTGGAGGCATCTGGACCTCAAGAGCGTGAAGCTGTCGCATTTTGCAAGGGATTGCGGCCTCGGGAAGAAGGGCGATGGTCGCTGTCGTCGCCCTCGTAATCAGTGCCACCAGCATTATCATCACTCGACCGCCCGATTTCAGGATTTGCATGAAACATGTTATTGCGTTGATTCGCCACTTGAATGTTGCCGACAAGCTGCGCGTGGGTGGGTGGGGTGTTTCCTCGAGTAGTGGAGTTGACGACGAGATGGCACCACACATGTTGCATTCAATAGTTTGCACCTCGCTGATGGCACCGCATAGGCTGCCCCGCATAGGTAGGACTACACATATCGCACTACGTGTGTTGCTCCACATGTTGTGCGCCACATACGTTACACGTCATTGGTGACACCGCATCGTATGCATCGCGTTGGTTGCACAGTGTTAGTAGTGCTGCATATAGTACATCTCACCCTTAGCATACAGATGTTCCACCACATAGGTAGCAACGCAGAGTGCACCAAACAGCTTGTACAACATCGTTTGCCTGCAATTCTGCACCGCGTAGATTACACCGTCGTTGTTGTCTCACATAGGTGGCACCGCATCGCCTACATTGCACAACGTACATAAGTACATATATACACACATACACCTATATATTCATACGTGCATGCGTTTACATATATATATATGGCTATACAGTTATATATATATATATATATATATGTGTGTGTGCGTGTGTGTGTGTGTGCTTATTCGCTGCATCACATAGATTTCACTGCGTAGGTTGCTTCCCATC